GGAGCCTGCAAACTCCGGACTTGATCAAAACTGGCACACAACACACTGGAGGTAATGTGATAGAGAGAGCAGAAGGCACGTTATTGTTCCAACCCTTTTTCTATTTTCTTCCACTCATAAGAAGGTATGTGCCGCGATTGAAGAAAGACGCAGCACAGCGTTTGTCCTTGATGTGTGATTCTACCAAATAAGATATTGCTGAATGTTGATTAATGAACAAAAAATATGTTTTTGGTTTGTTTTGTTTAGACCAAGACTCCACCGATGATCAGCTCAACATGAACACATCGACCGACGACATGATCCCCATCATAACGGACGAGCTGAACCCTTCATTACGTAACCGAATTATCCGAGTCATCAAAGATTTCGTTCTCTTCCCGACGCGCGTGAGAGTTATCGCTTCGGGTTTCACCTTACTCTGGCTCGCTTACTGCTGGTCAATGATCACGTTTGGTTTAACCAATGACCATTATTGTCCTGCAGAGCCGAACTTGTCCAACTCGATTGCGCTTCACGGTGTGTTTTGGGTTGTCGTGTGTTGTTATGTAATAGTTCGCCTTATATGGACTGAAGTGATGCCGGACAAACAGCCAACCTGTTCTTTCAAAGTGGGAAACCCCTCAGTGGCACTCAGGTGGAAAAAAGAGTACAGTTTTGGGTTTGATTCGGTCGTGCTGCTCCTTCTGTTGACCAGTTATATCTACAACATGATTTACCTTGTGAGGTTGCTAGAAAAGAAACCATATTTGGTTCACGCACCACACAGACAGTGGGTTAGTATAAGTACAGATCGACGGCATCCAATTTATAATAGAATCCGCAGTGCTCAATGCTTTTCAAATTATCCATATAAATGATAGTTCTTAATCGGTAATAAGGTTTTTTTTTCTAGGGCTTACCATTTTCTGAATCTTAAGACAGGTAATTTTAACATATTGTAACATAAGCTATAGACACTTTAATCTTTCAGCGCATTTAGACAGGTAGTTTTGTCATTTGTTTGGCTCAAAGTGCTCGGTACTGTATGGTGTTTATTTGTTCCGACAATCCCCTCAAAGGGCCCGAATGACGCCTTCTTTGGCGTAGAATTGCCTTTCTCCGTCCGATTGCAGGTACCTCAACGAAAGTGCAGGTCAAATATGGCATCATATTAAGCTCCTTTTTACTGTAATAAGGATTCCAAAAACTCTATAAAAATGACACAGTGACGAGAAAAGTTGGTCTCAATTTTTACATTAATAGGAGGAAAACGATTTTGTTAAAACCTCAGGAAAAAATATTTAATACTGAATTTGTTTTCAAGCTATGCGCTATATAAAAAAGCATATATGGTTTTGCTTAGCATTTGCACAGAACTAGAAACAGAATCTATCAAAACGAAAAGATTCACCATTTTCTCTTTTAAAGTATCCTGATACATATGTTTCTCCTCAAAACGAAAAAAAAAAGTTCAACAACATGAACATTAAAACTGTTTATATCCTTGACAATTATGAGTGGGAAACTGAATTACGTAGACTTAGCCAATGTTTTGGGCTTTAATTAAATCAAAAACGTAATGTCTTTATGTCAGTTGTTGAAAAATATGAAACAAACGAAATTTGTAGATTTTTCCACTTTTTAATTTTTAGCACAAGGTTTCGGAGAGCTCACAAAAAGACAGGGAAACTTGAGGAGCCAGATTTTGAAAACTTGAAGAGACTAGAAAACTAGAAAAGAAATTTAATGACCATTTTTTCTTTTGATTCAAAATCTTTTCCTCGAAATATTTTTATTCAAGATCTGAGTTCACAACTAAGATCTTCCACATTTTATGTCTTTTTTGGTATTCTTTCATTGCATTTTAGGCTTTTGAAAGAAATTTGCAGCCAATAATGATGGTATTCAAAATTTTTTTAGCTATCCCCTTTTTTAAGTATCTGTTTCTCGATAAGATTTTTTCATTTGCTATTTCAAACTAATTAAGGTTATTCTAGCTTTTTGGAACTTGGTGCGTTTTTTGGAAAAATTCATTCTATAGACCCCGCGTTTTCACCTCATTATCAAATCATAACTTAAATGGGACGATTTATTTACAAGTGAAAAGACGAATATGAGAGCTGTTCAGCTCATCACTGTAAACCGCTGTTGTGCCCCTGGCTAAGAACGATACGCATTTTTTTGGAATTCTTTTCTGGGATGTGTAAGGTTGCCTCACCCGCAACCACGATTCCTGCTGGGCGACAAATATCCGAATTTTTCGATTGAGAGTCGGAGAAATAACCACTTCACCAACGCTTTTTAGGGAACCCATATTTATTAAAAAACAAATAAATTGTACCCCTTTTAGAGATTTTTTTGTCTAACTGATCAGAAACTATTTTTTATGGAAATTGTATGATTGGCATTTTTAAGGTGACAATGTTTCGAAGTTGCCCCAAAAACAAAATTATTGTTTTTCAACTGAATTTTCTACTCAGATACTGTCTTTCCTATACAATTACAGCCCAAAAAGTTTCGCAAAAAAATAAATAAAACACAACTCTTTGGTTTGCTAAGACTGCAATAAAAATGTTTGACAAGCCTTTTCCCATATCTGAAAACTGCATGACCAGCTTTTTTGCAGAAACCGGGTGTTTGAAATAGTTTAACTTTTGAAATACTTAACATATCTTTTTTAATCCAACTTAATCCAGCGATTTAATCTGCTTGCGTCCAGACGGGTGTGCACACTACTTAAGTAACCTGCCACATTTCCGTCTTAACTGCTCGTTTTAAAATTCACCTGTGGCGCACCTTAAAATTGTTCCAAATTTAATTGAGGCAGCTAAGTTGTTTCATTGATTCAAAACACGACTCAAATGTTCACACTTAAAACTTGATATTTTTAGGCCAAATAATTTTGCCCTGAACTAATTTACTATAAATTATTCGAGAGCAATTAAAGAGAAGTTGGATCATTTAGGACTTTGCCCTGTTACCAGCAGTATTGTTGCTTATGTATAGAACTGTTTTGTTGTTTCAGCTGAAAATTTAATTTTAATAACTCATCAAAAACAAATTTCTGATAGTTATCCAGAGAAATAGTGAAAGGAATGCACACTCAGGTCGGCCAAAACGTGCAACACTTTACATTATGAAAAAAGATGATCGCATTATAAGTGTATTTTATAAGGAATTTCATTAATTTGCTTTCTGCTTTTTCACTACTCTCTGGGAGCTGGAATTTCAAAATTTTTGAAAGTTTTCTATTATTGGTTGTTTCTGCGTTTTTTTACTATAGCAGTGCGACTTAAAAAACACTATGGTTCCACAAATTAAGAAAGAAAAACTTTACAAAACACTTCAGCGGTGCAACTTAAGAAAAGACCCTACTCGATTTCGGAGGGTTATCTTTCAAGATATTGTGAGATTCTTGCAAGAGTGAGGTTATCAAGCAAGAATAATGTGAGATTCACGCAAAATCTTGCAAGATAATCAACTATGAAAATTTTTATACAAAACCTTACTCTGAACGCCAGAAAAAATATATAGAGATCCAATTTGACTACGGTCACAAAGAATTCTCAGTTTAAATTCGGATAAAAACTTTAGGTTAAACAAATTTTAAAAATATTCATATAAATGTTCATTTTTCATTTTTCCTAATGTCAATAGTTTTAAGGTGTCATTATAAATTATGCATTCCAAATTACTAATTTCAAATTTTTTTTACTTTATTGGAAGTTTTTCATTCTAGTTGTCCTACACAAACGCTATAGTCGTTACGAATCTCTCTTTAAAAGAATCTTGCGAGAATTTTGCTAGATCTTGCAAGAAAACCTCCCTTGATCAACTAGGGCAACCCAAGCCGCGGCACTTTAAAAAACTATTTTTGTGAGGCGACTTAAAAGAATGTTGAGCCGCGGCGTGACCAGGGAAAAGACGTCGACCAGGGAAAAGACGTCGACCAAAAAAGTAGTTTGGCGACGACAATAAAGGAAATACTACTCGAATCGCGCTAAGGAAAGACTTCGGGCCGTGGAGAGACTTAAGACAATATTTCAGCAGCCCAGCTTAAAAGAAAACTTTTAGCCGCGGAGCGATTAATTTTTTTTGGTCGGGCTGCTAAAGTGTCGTGTCTTTCACCGATATTGAATTGCCGTGAGTCAGTCTGCCAATATTAGGTTGAGCCAGTATGGTCGCACCGGTCTCATGTTAGGTCGCGGACCCCGACGCGACTATAATTTTTTCTCTTCCTGGATAGCAGTTTATTTGAGGCTTAACCAGTTGAAAATTTAAAATCAGTACACTCTCAAACTGTATTTAGAATAATCAAATGTACTCAAGTCAAAAGATATCAGCCGTTAAAAAGGAACCGTTTTCTTATGTTTTGCGTTGCTTTTGTTCCCGCGAGCACCTTTATAATTAGGAATTTATGATGGTGTACGGTGTTCGTCTTCGGCGCAATTTGAGTTCACCAAGGAAAATTTGAAGGGTAAATGCTATTTTGTTACAAAGCCATTTCAACCATAATGCAACTACGAGAAAAATTCCGCCTTTTTTCTAAAAAAGTTTATCTGCCCGAAATTTAGCCAATTGTGTAATTTTTTCTCATGTCGTCCCGTACACAAAAAATGTCTGCAGAAATCAATTTAAAAATGAAAAAGCAAAATTGAAAATCTTCTTCATATTTCGAGAGTTCAGAAACTAAATGGACTGGTCAGTTGTTTAAGCATAACTGCGCAAAAAGACTTAAAATTGTTTTTTTTTACAGCTTACGACTTGTAAGCAGAAGTACCAGACTGACAACTGCTGTCGCCGCTTCCTGGTGGAGTATGCCATCTCCCAGCAAGTCATCTCCTACATCGGTATTGCACTCCTCTCCATCTGCTACCTGTACATCATGGGTTTCATCTCCTTCTTACAGAGCCGCATCTGCTTCAAACGATTCAACGCTGATCAGGCAGAAACTGTACCGCTTGTGTGAACACTTCTTCCCTAAATATGCACATAGCGAAACACTTCTGCGGAAGGAGTAAGAGTTCCGTAAAAATTGAGTATCTCTTTTTTGGACAATCGGATCCGGATTATTGTGTTTCGTTATTTCGCATCTCATATTTTGGGTGATATTCTATGGAAACTTTATTGGTCTTAAACGTCATCGATTACCCACAGTTATGAATCTCTGATAGTTTAATTAGAGCCATCATTTCAAACCTGCTCTAGTGCTGAATCAGTGCTAACCCAGGGCTGTTCCGAAAATATATATATTTCCCGAAATACTAAAATTTAACGAGAAACCCTTTACTAAAGGGAAAAGGTTAAAAATTTTTCATGAAGGTTGTGACCTTAAATGGTAATCAGTAAGGCAATTTTCCCTTTCGAAGTGTACAGTTTCAGGATGATCTGTTCATAGGTTTTTGGCGGTTTTTAATATCTGTTTCATTTTGGCTGGTTTTCCAGGCACGTGGTTTGTCACGTCGTCAAAAATTAGACCGGTTTATGTTAAATCCATATCAAACGCGTCAATTTGGTTTTTGTGTGGAAAAGTTTTTTGCAATTGGAAGTAATGTGGCATAACTTTGATATTCCCAAAGTTCTCTTCTTTGATTTTTGAACAGCCCTAGGAATTCAACAAAGTATCCATTGTGCTAGTAGCTTTTCTTTCATTTGTAGGTGATAAATTACAATAGGTGGTTAGTTAAAGTTAAATAGCTGTCTCGCTTTTTGTTGTACTTCGAACAGTATTTATAATTTATTTCAAAAGACATTTTTTTGGCAAAATAAACACAAAATTTGAGTTTTTGAATAGCATTTCATCTGGCAGAGTAATATATTTACAAAAACTGTCTTAGCAGCCTGTGCAAATGATTGAACATGAAATGACTATAAAATGCATTATAGTTCTCAATTTTATTGCATGCATTATAATTAAAATTACCACCTTTTGTAATATATCACCCATTTGTAAATATTACCATTAGTATAAATGAAGTAAAAATTCATGCAGGTTTTTGAACTGTTCTTCACGAGTCCAGTTTAACTGAACTAGCTTAAAAAAGATCCATGTTCCGATTCACGAGGAGAGCGACGGATTATTTGATCTCGGGGTGGTTTTTTTCAGAAAAACTCTGACTTTGTAAGCATAGTATTTTGTGACGTAATTTTTCTTTATGATTCCAAAGATATTGTTGTCTTGAGCTCAAATTTAAAAATGTTTTACATGTGATCATTTTTTGTAAAGTTACGGGGGTTTAAAGATTGCCAACTTGGCCCCGGCCAAATTAGGATAGTTAACAAGCGACAAAGTTCGTGCTACATTAAATCGTCAACGGAGATTTGATCCGTGTTAGAAATTGTTCGAAATTGAATTGAGGCCTGATAGTTGTTATTCCGAATTTTTTTCTATGGGAGGAGGTTTTTCAAAGAAAACTAGAACGTTTAGTTTTTTGAAAACTTTATCCAACTTCAAAGCAAACACTACTACATAAGCCTTAAACGCAGTAGGAACATTACATTCAAGTCTTTGCTCTGATACAAGCAGTCTTGTTCTCAACTTAATTATTGAATCCATTATGTTACCAAATACTACCCTGTTGAATAGTGATCACAGTCATCATTTAACCACAATTATAGCTTGCATGCCGCTCACGCACCATGAAAGTTGTTTCACATAGCTCCCTTCCTGAAAGAAAAGCGCCATATCTTTCTCCACTCAAATTTGCTGCGCTTACTATCGGCATGGTCGGTCTTCGGGGCGTTAAACAGTGTTTGTCATTAATCCAACTTCCATTTTCAAGCGCTAAGAATTGATTATATTTTGATTTTACCAGCAACTTTCAAAAAATTAAGAAAAAACTGGTTTTTGTTCCGACTTTCGATACGAAAGTAACGGAATATTTGTGCTCGGGGTGGGTTTTTTTTTCTTCAGACAAATTTCGACTTTTTAACTAGCCATTTTTGACAGAATTTTTAAATATCATTCGAAAAGTATTGTTGTCCTGAGCTCAAATTTGAAAAGATATTTTACCTGTGATCATTTTTCGTAAAGTTATGGGGGTTTAAAGATTGCCATTTTGACCAATTTGGGACAATTAACGCGCGATATATTTTGCGCTATTAACGCGTAAGCGGAGAGTTAATCCGTCTTAGAAATCGTTCCAAATTGGTAGAAAGAAGCTTATTTGCCATAATTGATTTGTTACAAGGAGCGAAATCTATCCTTTTGTACTTTATATGGCGTGTGGGGGGATAATTTTTATTTAAAAAATTCAAATTTTAGAAGAAAAAAATTTTCATTTTGTTTTATTTCATTTAATTTTTTAATGTTATTACTGCTCCATAAACCTTAAAAGGCAGTCGGAACATTCAGGGCTTCGTCCTGATACGAGCAGTCTTGTTATTAATTAATAATTGTTTATCATCTCTTCTGTTAAAATCAAAATATAATCCATTATAATACATTTTACTCGGTTACAACCGATTCATAGCCCATCTATTTTTCGATTCAATTATAAACGATTATAAATTATGATAATCGATTAATTTTATCACAATTTCTAATTCATATGTTTTGCACTAACATCCATTATAATCGATTGTAATCGCTCATAATCCCTGTTCTTCACACATTTTGTTTGCGACCTTGCATTTGAAATCCTTAGATTGTATGCTTGTTGTAGATGTTGGTTTTTGTGAAAAAAAAAAGAAAACTGTCATAAGCTTTCACAAATCAATTCAAAACTATAACGTTTTAATTTTTTCTTTTGTTCTCATTAGAGTTGTTTCAAGATGCACACTATACGTTTTTAAACCATCAAAATATCAGCCCATTACTTTTGCTTCATGATTCTAAGAAGATTTATTTTTCACCTACCGCGTGAACCTTTCATCTAATATGAAAAAAAAATATTTTTTCGTGGTGAACTATTGTATTCAGATGAATCAACGTGTGACAAAACATCTCACTTTTAGAGATTTGCTATAAAAAGAAAATAATTAGCCATGTGATACATTAAAAATTTTTTTCTTATGGGTGAAAATTTTTTAGCAAAATAAGAGATTATAATCGATTAAATTTGTTTTGAAGAGTGAACTGTATTTGCATGAACTGTATTTGCATGAACTTTGCATGAAATGTTTTGAATTATAATCGATTAAAAGAGATTATAATATCTTGGAACATATCAGGATTACAATCGATTAAGAACCCTTTAAACATATTTTTTTTTGGTAATTTTACTCAATTGTCAAAAATGATAATTTTAATTGTCGTAAAAAAGCGGAAGTGACTTTACCCCATCATGCCCCAAAATTGCTGATCTTGCCCCATCATGATTGAAGTTGTTTTTTCACGCTCTGTTGCATATCTGTTAAATATTTTTTATCCGACTTCCGAAAAACTGCGGCTATTCTAGGCTTGGGTCTTCGGTCAGTTTTCGCGAATAAATTTATGATTTGATCCGCAAAGATTTTGTTTTTTTTTCTTTAAATTTTACTATTTTGACCCTTATACTAGGTCTACTTTTCCCCGCCAAGATTGACTATATATGAAATCTCCTGGTCAAGATTAGGGTTAATTTTATTCATTTTCAGTCGTGATTCGAATTTTAAAGAACTCAAAAACTTTAACAGTGTCCAGAAAAGTTAGTTCCTCTTGTCTCAGAGGAAAAATTATTTCCTCTAGTTTCAGATTAAGTTAGAAAAACCTGCATGAAATTGATTGAAGACTGTTTTAAATGTATATTCTACTCCGGGTCTTCAAATTATGATTTTCACCATAAGCATTTTTGGTTGATTTTGCATGAATTCGATAAAAGCTAAGTCAGAATAATTAGTTTGCAGAGATTATAATAATCAATAATCAAAAGTTCTGAAATGTCAACAGAGAAATCAGCGACGATTTTAGTCTCATTAACATTTTTTTTTCGAAATGTCTCAATAAAGCTACCACTTCTACTTTAGGTCTAACATTTAACACAAAATTTATTTTTACCCTAGAGACATTAAAGCGGAAACTACATCTTAAAACTGATTTTTTTTCCGCGATACAAAAGGATTTTTGTTTGATTATCCTTATTTTTCAAAACACTTACATTTGCGCATGCAATTTTGGCTTTCAACTATTTGATAAATTTTTGTTTCTTCTTTTAAGTTTTATCCACCAGAGATTAAAACTGAAAAGTAAAGTGGTCTGCAACAAATAAGTAGACAATAGATTTCTACATACTAGACGAAACTATTCAGAGGGACTTAGCCAGGTCGAATTTGCAGAAGCAAAAAAGCCAGTATATCCTAAGTAGTTTCAGAGGAACAACATCAGAAATCTGAATCCATGGATTGAAATTGGTTCTTTGGGAGACGGATGAGCTTGGTTTACTTTTTATACAACGGAAAAACGAAAGAGCGAATATTTGAAAGGGGTGACTCGGTCTCTCTCTCTCTCTCTCTCTCTCTCCCCTCTCTTTCTCACTCTCTCTCTCTCTCTCTCTCTCTCTCTCTCTCTCTCTTTTAATTATTCGCTCGTGAAAAGTAAGTCAAGCGCTAGTCTCCCAATGAACCAATTTGAGGCCATCGATTCAGTTTTTTGATATTGTTTGCGAGAATGTTTCCACACCAAGAACCTCATTGAAACTACTTCGGATATACTGGCTAGTTTGCACCTTCAAAGCAAGATTTTTTTCACGTTTCAGCCTGTCTTAGTTCTTCTAAATAGTTTCATCTAACATGTGTTAAAATTTCCACCCTATCTCCTAATTAGTTGCAGAGAAAACAACAGAAACACGTGAAGATAAAATTTCGTTCACTTGTTCGTTGAAATTGTTTGCTAGTTACCTATTTGTTGTAGCCCAAGTTAATTTAAAAACTATGATAATATTTCTACTAAAAGTAGAAGATTTTTAAATAGGACAGGCCAGAATGAAGACTTTTCATTCTAATTATGCTTCAAACGGGAATCGTTTCTCTATTTTTTTTTGTTTTCACTTTATTTCTTACCTATATTCCCTTGGGTCCTATAACACCTATGTCTTACCTATAACATGGGTCCAAAGGCGTTTTTAATTGCAGTTAATTTTGCATTTATTAATTTTATGTAATGCTCTAGATATCAGCAATTGGCCTTTCATTAAAATCGATGCATTTTTGTAAATGAAACTTCCCTTCTCATTTTTCATTTTTGGGCGGGGAAAAGAAGCTCTCCGCCGAAACAACGTGAAACAAAGTGAGATGACTTAAGGAGATTTTGTAACGTCAGTACAAAACTGGTTGAGATATAAGATTAATTCCTGCTGAATTTAGCGACTATATCTATTTTGTGTATGCGGCTTACTAAAACATATGTTGCATAAAGTTACGTGTTATTACTTGATATAGTTTTTGAGTGTGCTTTACAACAGTTTGAAAAATCGCTGGCTCATATAGTTAGTTTAAACTCCATTTCATCATATTTTGCAAAATTAATGATAACATATGGCATGACACAACGTGCAGTTAAAAAGTTATTTAATATTTCAAAGGTACAATCAAAACTGATCTGATTTGTTTTCATAATATGTCATTTATTTGGGATCAAAACGTGCAAAGTGATGGCAGCAATGAAGAATTTGAGTTGAATGATGAAAGTTTTGGAGGCGCCAAATCAGGTCAGAAAGGGAGTCGAAATCAGTTGCAGAAAAAATCAGAACCAAGTAAGCTCTATGTTCAACTTTCAAGTTTATGAGCTTGCATCGTGCGATATTTGCATCGTTATTTCAAATAGCCCTTAGTATTCAATTATCGTATCTTTTTAACTGGGTATCTTTGATGAAAGATATAGGATATGTAAACTATTTTTTCTTTGCTAGGTGAGCACAATGCTAATTTCGAAGACACTTCTAGTGAGTCAATTGAAAACATCTCAATTCCCATTGTCACCAACGAACTGGAACCCTCAGTCTGGACCAAAGTGTCCCGTCTAGTTAGAAACGTAATCCTATTTCCAACTAAAGCAACAGTTATTCTAGGCGTTCTAGCTTTTGTATGGCTCATATGCTGCATGTCATGGGTCGGTTATGGACTCACCAACGACCATTACTGTCCAGCAGATCCCCGAATTCCCCAGGTCATTGCATGGCACGGGATCCTGTGGGTTGCATTTTCGGCTTACATCATTGTTAGGCTAATTTGGGTGGAGATTAACTCGATTAAAACTCCCACGTGTACTT